TCTATCTATCTATCTATCTATCTATCTATCTATCTATCTATCTATTTCAGTCTGTTCCGTACCTATCTATCTATCTATCTATCTATCTATCTAATTTTTTTCCTATTCTTTTCTTTCTTTCTCTCTCTCTCTCTCTCTCTCTCTCAGTCTTTACATATCCATTGTATTTGTGATCTTCTTCACCCCCGACGATTAATCATCATCCTATTATAACATATAAATTTTCCAAATATAATGACAATTATTATTTACTCTCTGTTGTTGGGTATCGAGTACAATACGAGATTCCAGATTCGAGCAAAACGAGTTTGTACGAGATCACCTGCATGTTTTTCAAGACACTCATCAGAAACAATAACAATTTTAGTAATTCAAAATCGCGAACGAATACCAAAATTGAATGCGTAACAATAATAGACACCCTATTCAGTAAAGATAGCATTTTTTTTTAAAAAAAGTAATTAAGTTACTGTAGATTTATCTTATAACTTTAAATTCATAGTAGCTCTCGTAACAACGTACTCTGTGCATATAATTGCCATGCACAGAATTAACCATCTATTTTCATCGATTTTAAATCCATGCGCAAATGACACTTATTACCGTAGACAGATTTGGTGACGAAAAATCTCATCATACTTTATTTTTACTTCAAATGCTTTTGAGTTTTTTTTAACATTTCACGTCATGTAAGGCAATAAAGCCACTAAGAAGCAAAGGATTACTAAGCGTGAAATAATACGTGAAGAAAACGGGAGAACAATTAAAGAAAAGGGATTGATTGATTGATTGATTGATTGATTTGTTTAACGGCACATCAACTCATTTATGGGTCATTTAATGCCAAAATTTAAATTTCTTGTGAGTTTTTCAGTAATACATAGTACTCTGCTTTCACAATTAAATTATTGTTAGATGATACTCAGCCTTTGTTTATATGCATGTTTTTATGGCCATAATTACGAGAGGCGTTTTATATTGTTTTGTTGGAGTTACATTTTGGAATTCAGTTTGATTTCTTTAAGAAATTGTGGGATATTATATATTATATTATATATGTCGTCGTAGTGCCGGCCGCTTTCCACGGCATGCTGCCATTAACGACATAATCAAAAGAGGTTTGGATACAGCTGGGTTCCCTTCCCAAATCGAACCTGCAGGCGTCGATCGCGGTGATGGAAAACGGCCGGATGGCATTATCATTTTTCCTTTTAAAATGGGGAAGTCGTTGATTTGGGATGCGACCTGTGCGGATACATTTTCGGTCGGTAATTTGATCAGTTGAGCCAGGATCCGTCGCCCGGGACGCAGAGATGAAAAAATAGTTAAATATTCTTCTCTTGCTGATAGATTTTTTTTTTACTCCTGTGGCAATGGAGACTTCAGGGGTTATTGGCCCTCGTTCGATGGCATTCCTTCGGAGGATTGGCGCAATTGCGTCTCGATTAAGGGACGAACCTCGCGAAACGGAGTGGCTCTTCTTGGAGCGTGTCTCACTGGCGATGGTTCGAGGTAATACTTTCTCCATCGTTGCAGCTGGCAGAGGTTAGAAAAAATTGTTTATTGTTACGCTGTTCTGGAATTGTCATCAGTGATCAACTGTAATTGTTTTGTTTCAATAAATTTTAATTTGTTATATGGAGTAGGGTTATGAAAGAGTTCTTTAATGTTGGTTGTTTAAAGACATTTCAATCCCTTTCATGCTAAGATCGAAATATTTCGAACGTAACTGTATGCCTTCAGTTACAGAAAAAATGTACTGTTGGTAACTCTGCTATAAACTGATTTGATATGATTTATTTTAACGGCACATCAACTCCTTATGAGTCGTTTAATGCCGATATGTAATATTCTTGGGAGCTTTGAAGTAATAAATATATAATATATGTTATTCTGCTTTCACAATTGTATACATGGTAAATGATACTCAGCTTTTGTGTATATACATGTTTGTGTGGACATAATTAATAGAGGCCATGATATGTGTGTTACAGTTTTTGGGGTATATTATGTATAAATAGTGAGCGAGTCAGAATGACTTATTTCCCTTTATAGTCGACCAATGGAAGGTTGACCAATCAGAAGCCTCCCAACACTGTATTCGTCGTGTATAAAGGCGGCCATCTTGTTTCCTCTACCGGAAGGACCAAAGGCGACCAGGAGAAGGATGAACTACACTCTGCTATGATATCCACTGCGAACCTGCACTACTCTTTCCTACTGTCTCCGAAATATTCACTGCCAACCTCTGGATTCTATACTCGAGGACGACCGTCATGAAAATGTCTAACAATGTGTTTTTTTATGTTGTACTTTTGTTGAAGTTATATTTTGAAATACAGTTTGATTCCTTTAAGAAATTCTAGGATATTATATGGATTAATGTAAAAAATAAAGAGTTCTTTAATGTTGTTGTTATTTTGTAGTAATTTTAAGCGGATTTGAATCAAGTCCGTACAATGTTTTAGCATATATTTTATTGTGTATATTTCTTGTCATGCCGTACAGATTGGACATGATTCTTGTGTTATCATGGATTGGTTGTTAAATTTAACACAAATGAGTCTTAATGATTTCTTTAACGGCACATCAACTACTTATGGGTCATTTACTGATGAGATTTAATATTCTTCGGTGTTTTGAAATAATAAATATATAATATATGTTATTCTGCTTTCACAATTTAATACATGGTAGATGATACTCAGCTTTTATGCATATATGTTTGTGTGGACAGAATTACTAGAGGCGGTGATATGTGCGTTTTATGTTGCGAATTTGTTGAAGTTATATTTTGGAATACAGCTTCTTTAACAATTTCTAAGATATTATATGGATTAATGTCATAAAAGGTTTCTTCGTGTTGGCTGTTTGGTTGGTTGATTCAAAAGCCACGGAAGGAGAGTGAACTGGGCGATATACGAACCTATCTCATCCTATTGTGGAAAATATAAATAAAGAATAAATATATAAATAATTTGTAGAAAATTCAGAGTTTAGGCAGAGACATCAGAAGTATACAGGTGAGATAAGAAAAAAAAACATGGTGTTATTCTGATTTCACAATTGAATACATGGTAGATGATACTCAGCTTTTATGCATATATATGTTTGGGTGTATATGATTACGAGAGGCGGTGACGTGCGTTTTATGTTGTGAATTTGTTGAAGTTATATTTTGAAATATAATTTCTTTTAGAAATTGCAGGACATTATATGGATTAATGTGATAAAAGATATCTTTTATGCTGTTTGTTTGCTAGTATTTTAAACAGATTTGGTTGAAGTCCCTACAATTTGTCAGTATATGAGTATAGTTGGTAATTTTTGTATATAAAATTTGTTGCTGGTATTGTTACTATAAAAGTGTATTTTTATTCACTTATAGTGTATTGTTTTGGTTTACGTTTTCACTGTTTGTTCATAGCTAAGACCATAACAGCTACTTCCATCCGAGATCAATGTGGACCTGGGAACTACAGCAATTGACTGCACCTCTTACTCTTCAATACTCTACCTCGAGTGGCTCCCAGCCTCCTGTATCTTGAGGGTTAGTTTCATTGTAAAAGAATACTTCACTTTCTTTTTCGATTATTTATGTTTCTAATTCTTCTTTATCTTTTTGCACGCCTGCGAAACGTAAACATTAACTGTAGATTTACAACGAAGACGGCAAGAACGGTAAGTGAGGTAAGATCTTTTTTGGAATAGAGTTTCATGCATTTAAAATCTGTAGAATATTATATGGATTAATTTCATGAAGGAGTTCTTTCATGTTGATTGTTTTGATTAGTTGTTTAACGTTATTCAATACCAAAATCTAAATAATTGTATGTAAGTTACAATTCAGTTGCAGAAAAAATGTATTGTTGGTAACTCTTCTCTTAATTGTTTTGATATGATTTATTTTTAACGGCACATCAACTCTTTATGGGTCATTAAATACCAATATGTCATTTCTTTGGAGCTTCGAAGTAGTAAATACGTAATATATATTATTCTGCTTTCACAATTAAATACATGGTAGTTGATACTCAGAATTTGTGCATATACTTGTATAGAACATTACTTACATTATTCGGACTATTGTCCTCACCTTTGTCGCCATATTTATTACAACGTTTCGGCCGTTGTATGCTCCGGCCTTCTTCAGCTGGTTGGAATGTCGAACTGAACCCTTTATTTCGCTCACTGGGGTAGACTGTTCTAGTTCCACGTGCCATGTTTAATGGATGTCAGTTATCAGTTATCTCCTGTTAATTTCCCTCTGAATGTTCACTACTGCCTTAACCGGGTATTGAACTCACACTCTTTGGGTCTTGTCCCCGGATCTAACCAACGTCTTTATCCCCTCTGCCATGTGTCCTCAGTGACAGGACCCAAAGAGTGTGAGAAATAGAAAGTTGCCGTAATATTCCTAGGACTACAATTGATGGCCATTTTCTTGTAAACAACCCGAAATGTGTTTAAAATGGTCCTTTGTCTGCAATTTTATTGCCATCTTTTGATGAGAGGAGACTCCAATTTATTTAATCGTTTTCGGATGTGGATGTGTAGAATATGTTTTAATGTCAACCATAATCTGAGCAGAATGTGAATGGACTGCGTGCACTTTTGTTACATATCTCTATACGGCACTGTCCTCGGAGAGATGACAGGCTAGCCATCTCTAGAGAATTCTGGCCAATAATTTGCGATGTCGAAAAAGTCTGGGAAAAGACAAGAGCATTGGTGTACGTCATGATGGATTGTTATGCAAATGTTTTCATTTATTTATTTTTGCTTGTTTTTAGTTTATCTAAAAACATGTCGCTGAGAGTTTTAAAATGTTTATAGTATATATTGACTTTTTTGGAGCTCACTACAACAGTTATATATCAATCGATAATATATATTTGTGATTTCCCCAACTTTTACTGAAATAGGCTGTATTTGGAACAGAAAATACGTTTTTTAATGAACAATTTTCGGGTAAAAATGATTTTATTTACCCATCGAAAATGTATTTTGTAAATACATTCTATCTATCTATCTATCTATCTAT